TCCAGAGGCCGCCCCAAGACTATGAGGCTTTGGGGGGACAACTGTACACAAACCATAACATCTTCGTACCCACATTGTTTGACTTCAAGATTAGGGTTACAACACAGAACATGTTCATAGTAGGGTTGAAGACAACAAATTCACAAAGGCAGCTTTTATGTATTGGTCTAGTCAGTGTCTATGCAGAATGTTGTAGAATTTTGGGGATATGAGAGCAATAGTTTTCCTATAAAATAAGACTAAAAATGAAAGTTTTGGGCTGGGTAGATAGCTCAGTGGTCTAAGTGGCTGCCTGGCAAGTGCAAGGACCCAGGTTCGATCCCCAGTACCACAAGCTGTGCCATCCCTGGAACCCTGATGCGCTGTCCTGGCCACTGAAACTGGGCATGGTGGTACACATCTGTAATCCCAGCACTGGGGAGGCTGAGACAGGAAGATCACTGAGTCTCAGCTGCCTAGTGAGACTGTGCCAAATATTTTGTAAAAATGAAAGTTTTCACAATAACATTCACTTTAAATGTTCAGGAAAATACTTGGGATTCAAGCTCTGAAGTAAAATTAATTTTATATGCTATAACATATCCTACTACTGGAAGCATTGAATGTTACTGTTGATTTTTGGGACTGGGTTTTACTGTGTAGTTCAGGCTGGCTTTCAAGTTGTAGCAATCTTCTGCCTCAGCTCCCGAGTGCCAAGATTACAGGTGTTCTCCACCACATTTGACTCTTCAGTTTTGAGAGTTTAAAGAAGTGTGAAAGTCTTTTGGATGGCACCACCACTTTTTGAGAAATTAAGTTTAAATAGATGATAGATAGATAGATAGATAGATAGATAGATAAAACCTAAAGATTATGACACTAAAGCACTCCCTAAGTGTCTGCCAACTTCATTTTGGCATCTTCATTTTGGAATGATTTATACATCATGGATCATAAGAGGCAATGTTTCTTTTTATATTGGAAGACTATAGATCATCTGAGGCAGACTCCAGCTGCAGCTGGGGTGGAAAAGAATGCTTTTTCAGTTGGAAGGAGTTTTGACAAATTGCCAAAACAAAACACCTCTAGTCTACAGTTGAACAAGGAATCTTTTATTTCCTTAAAAATCTACAACATTGAAGGGCTGGCCAGATAGCTCAGCGGACTAAAGTGCCTGCTTAGGCAGAACACAGGGATAGGTTTGATCCCAAGCACCACATACTGTGCCTGCCCCATCTCTGGGGCTTTCTGAGGTGGTGATTAAGACTGGATGTGGTGTTACAAGGCTGCAATCCCAATGCTTGGGAGGCTGAAAATAGGAGGGTCACTACGAGTCTGATCTATGTAGTGAGACCCTGTACTAAATACATTAAAAAAAAAAACGAATTTGGGATCTTGCACTTGCCAGCCAGGTGCTTAAGCTACTGAGCTATCTCCCCAGCCCTCAAAGCTTTTTAAACAAATATATTCATATTGGGATGTAGATGTGGCTTTAGGGCAGAACTTTCCCACCATGAATGAGAAACCTAGATTCATGTACCCAGCACTACAAGAAACAATATTTTAATTTATAAGCAATTTTTAAAAATCACACCCTTTAGTGTATAATTCTATGAGTTTTGACAAATGTGTAGAACCACATGTCCACACCTATGGTCAAGATACTCAATAATTCATCAATCCCCAAATTGCCTTTAGCTGCAGCCTCCCCCCAACAGTGTTAGAGATTGAATGCTTGGCCTTCACTCTGAGCTATATCCCAACACTTTTGATTTTTTTTTTTTAATTTATGTATGTGGTACAGGATCTCACTATGCAGCTCGGACTTGTAGTGATCCTGTTTTCAGGCTCTCCAGTGCTGGGATTACAGGTATGTGCCACCATGTCCAGTCTTGTGGCAGCTCAGCTTGCCCTGGGTTGGGGCCGGTGCAGTGTGTGGTGCCAAGGATTGAACCCTGGTTCCTGTGCTTGCCTGCCTAAGCAGGCACTTAGTCCACTGAGCTATCTGATGACCCCAGAGCTATCTTACCAGCCCTTGATTTTTTTGAGACAGGGTCTCATTAAGTTGCTCAGGATGGGTTCATAGTTGTGATCCTCCTTCCTCAGCCCCCTAAGGAGGGGGGGCCACCTTGCCTGGCATCCTGTCCTTTTGTCTGGCAGACTTTCCTTCTACCCAGCCTCTGGTAACTGCCTATGCATTCTTTATGCCCGCAGTTTTCCCTTTGCTGAATGTCTAACTCAGTATGCCTCCCGGGTCTGGCTGCCTGTGCTTACAGTGGTAAGCTTGAGATGTATCTATAGAGCTACATGTGCAGCATAAGCTGTGTGTCTGATACACTTGAACCTTCTTAAGAACGTCAGATGTTTTGTTTTGTCTATCTCTGCCAGCTGTTGTCTTTCATTAAGGCCTATGTGCTGCCTTTTCTGAGATCAGTGGTTCTCCAGTGTGCTGCACTTGGGGTCACCTAGGACCCTATGTGTACCCCAGGTTCAGAGATTACCTCATTTGCCTATAGTGTGGCCCTGAAAGTAAGAGCTTCTAGGAGACTCCACAGTGCAACTGGACTCAGAGTTGCTACTTGTGGGAGCGCTGTCCCTGTGGATGCAGGGACAGCCATGTCACGAAAGCCCAGAATGCTGGAAACTGCAGGACAGCCAACTTGATTTCCTCAACAAATAGACTGAGAGAAAAACAGCAAGGGGCTGAGGAGATGGCTCAGTGGAATAAGCGCTTCCCTGGCAAGCGCAAGGGCCTGAGTTCAATCCCCAGTTCCGCAAAAAAACAAAAAACAA